TATGTATGGATTTTAATTCATGTTGAATGTATGTTGTTTTTAAAGTCTTGGACATGTCAAGGAATTTTTTTGGGTTGGTGAATGCTTGTAATAAATTATTCGCGTGGTGGGACACCGCATAATTTATTGCTTTCATAGAAACTCATGTACGGCTCCTGCGTGGGTCATAGGATGAATTATGTAATTGTTGTTTATATTATTCGTTATTGATCCGGCGGGCATGGACCAACCTTGACGGGGCGAGGCAGAAACACGTACACGGATGCCATGGTGATGATCCAATGGCGACTTTTCCAGAGACAACCAATTCAGTGGGAGTCACTGCGAAAGGGGAGTTCCAATACCTGAAAACGGAGGACACACTCAACAAGGACAGGACTGTGTTTTCTCCGTAACATTGGAGATTGATTAATGGCCATGATAGTTGGATTATAGTTCCTAGTTTATTATTACTCATTAATCATGCATGTTTTACGTGATTGCTTATGTGAAAATACAAACATGTTAAGAAAATCCCATAAAATAAAAATTATATTAAGTGTGTAATGGGTTTAAATAAATTACATCCAAGGCCTCCATTATAGGTTTGTCAGTGAAGTGATTTAATTCGAGCCCAAAGGACGTTTTATTTCACAGTTCACAAGGACGAATCTCCTTTGGGATGGTTATAGTGAGCTATTTCAAAAGCGTACAGGTCACCCAAAGGAGGACATATAATTTTGGTAGTAAACTTAGTACCAATTAATGGGTTACGCTTAAAGTGCAAATAATTACGATAGTCCAAAGGACAAGGTCGTTTTTATTCTCTTATAAAGTTAATTGCGCTGGCAAAAAGATGATACCGACTATTAGTTAAGTATTGCTTGGCAGTATGTTAAGCTAATGGGATTTATCCCTCCTCTTGCGAATGTTTGAACCGTAGACGTCCGCACTCAGTGGCCTGCGGGGATTCGGTGTTTTGAGGTGTTGGTGAATTTATTCAAATGTTGTTAAATGGGATCAATATTTGATGTATAAATTCAAAACTACTTGACATAGTAGAGACTATGTTTGCATGATTCCAGGAATTCAAAATGTCTTTTAATCCGTTGTCCGTAATTCTCAAAGAAAACAAACTTGTTGGTCCCAATTATATTGACTGGAAGAGGAACTTGGATATAGTGTTAACTGCTGAAGGGCACAAATTTGCTACTGTTGAGGCTTGTCTGGTTGTGCCTGCTGACAATGCACCAGACCAAGAGAAAGAGGAGTATGCTCGGTGGAAAAAGGCTGATGAGATGGTGAAGTGTTACATCTTGGCATCTTTGTCAAATGTACTTCAACATCAACATCACTCTATGAACACTGCAGCAGACATGCTCCTCAATCTCAAGGAGTTATTTGGTCATCAGTCGCGGGCTGCCCGACAAGAGGCCATGAGGGTTCTGATGAACATGACCATGCGCGAGGGCACTCCCGTAAGGGAACATGTTCTTGCTATGATGGCCCAGCTGAATGAGCTAAAGGTTCTTGGGGCTTTCATTGATGGATAAACCCAGGTCGATATAGTGCTCCAGTCTTTGCCGAAGAGCTTCGAGCAATTCCGGTTGAATTACAACATGAATAAGATGTTGATGACTCTTCCAGAACTTGTTGCTGAACTTCAGTCGGCAGAGGGCCTGTTTCGTCAGAAGACCCAAGCTATGGTGGCCCAGCGGGGAGAAGCTTCCACTTCTAAGGCTCCTAAGGGCAAGAAGAGGAGGAAGTCCGCAGGAAAGGGCAAGGCGGTCATGAGTGACGCGTAACCTCAACAAAAAGCAAAGAAGCCGAAAGGCAAGTGCTACAATTGTCAGCAGAAAGGACACTGGAAGGCAAACT